TCTGCTACATGGGCGTGCGACACATGTTTTATGGCTTATTTTTCACGCCGAATCCGATGGTAATGGTTATATGTGACCCTAAGTCACTGTGCTGGTGATAAGTGTGCATTGAAAGCATAAAAAATCGTTTATACTATACGAGGGCTGAGAAAAAAGGTCAATTTTTCAACTTTTTATTTTTGACATAAAAATGCCTTTTTCTAGACGAGCTTTGTCCCAGGAATCTAGTGGTGCCATTTGTTTTCACATGCGATGTTCAGAAGTACCTCTAATTCACGAAAATGCTTATGACGTCACCATGCCCTATACATGTTGGAGCTATTTTTTACAATTTGTGGGTCAAAAATCAAGATAGAAAGTTGAAATTTGGGGCATCTAATGTTCTAATAGAGCTCTACAACATATACTCCGGTTTTTTGGAAATTCCCAATTTTTGGATTTTATTAGCTGTTTTCCAAAAAATATAGTTTTTTGAATTTTTAGGGGTAAAAAACGCATTTTATGGAAAATCCGAGATAGCCATTTTAAAGAACTCGTTGAGCTGCGTCTTTTCATGTCCTTAATTTGCAATTTGCTTAAAACCCTGATTTTTGGCGATTTTTTAAACATTTACCACTTTTTGACTAAAAACGCCATGTAGTTACGTCACTAAAATCGATATATCTCAAAAAATTTTGGACATTTTTTCTTAAAAATTGCACAGGAGACGTCAAATTAATGGGGGAGAAGGTATGCCAAGTTTCAAGTAGATAGCTAAAGTGGTTCATGAGCTATTCAAGAAAAACGGAGGGGGGGGGGGGTCGGATCCGACCCCCCCCCCAGGCGGTCGCGGGTTAATGGTGATGGGCAATACAAAGCATGAATTCGAATGCGTCTGCATCTTTTGATACACACTTAGGAATGCGTTATCCTCAAAGATGTCCAACTCCAAAAACAGCCTTTTACCTACAAATATGCTCTGAAATGCTCTCTGGCTCATGTACATAACTGTCAACGATGCTTAACAAGACTTGCTTACGAACCTCAATCGTGCCGACAATGCAGCGCATGTTGATTGTTTCGGCAGCAACATTAGTTTGGTCCCAGTGACCAGCCACAACGAGCAGCCATAAAAAGGAATTAGCAGTGCATAACAACACACACGCCTTACGTCAGCTGATATTGGATAAATCAGGGAAGGGGAGTTGACGGGGAGATCAGTTGATATATCACAACTTACCTCTGACCCATCGAGAGGTGCAGGGGTCAGATGTCCGCAGCAGAGGTCGACCGAAGAGGTGTCAAAGGTCACTAGCAGATCACACAGAGATAAACTGAGGTATTTCGTTTCGTGAGGGGTAAAGCATAGGCGATGGGTAAAGGATGAGTGCAAGGACAGTTGTGCCACTTTTGTGAATTGAAGTATGAAATAGTTTACGATGTGTCTGCATTAGATTGTTATTATACCTTCCTTCAACGATTGACAACGTAACTCACGAGTATAAGAGTTTGTTTGAAATAAAGTTCGTCGGTAATGAAAGCGCATTTTGCATGCAATACCTACCTTCCGGCCATGTTCCTTGCTGAAGCGAAGACAGGACTTCTGCTGTCAAACTTTATGGGAAGGAGTGTGGATGGAACTATGCATGTGATACTAAAATAAATTTACTAAACGCATAGTTACAAAAAACTTGGACTTCATGAAACTACAAGTCAACAGTAACTGGGATTTTCACGATGTCAGCTTACATAAAACCGCGCTGCATCAAAGAACCCTTAGTTAGATATCTTCCAGCGTTGCATTCCAATGTCAAGGAAACATACTCGTGGTTCGTAGATTGACAGGTAGCATGCCCTGCATCTGATTTGAAAACAAAATTTATATACGAGGATTCAACTGAAAATGCTTGTTTCCTGCTTACTGAAATTCTCATTTAATTAACCACTTGTTAGATTCGCAACGCCGTTTTGATACAACCTACATGATAACCATGAAACATGCATTTTTAATTTCTCTTGTGAACCAGCCACGGCATTCCTATGAGGCGATAACGAAATTTTAAATACATTTTGAAATGCACTCAGCATCTTATCCTTAGTCCATGCGGTCAGACTTTGCGAAATATTTGTGTTGACGACAGGAATGCTTTATCGAAGCATGCATTGTAAAACACACTTGAAATTGTACACGCGCTGCTTATGCAGATAAATCATCCAATGCAAACTGACATGACAAGTCGAATGGTGTCAGTGGGTGGTGACATGATTCTTTCGGTGAAACTACTGTACAACATGCATGCATAAAACGTAAAAACGAATAACAATGCAGAGAACATGCAATATTTCAGGCTAAAACAATTCAGTCTTATGTGAGAAAAAAATACAACAATAACAAGAACAAAATGAAATAGGGCTAATAAGAAAAAAATAGAATAGAATAATAGAGAAAAATAAGACACAAGAAAAAATAATATTTAAGAAATGCACCACATTTTTTACTGTTGAATTTGCAATGCCATTATATTTCATTCGACCGGACCCGGTATTACTTATGTATGAAATAATGATGCAGTGACAAGTGTTTTAACCCTATTAGTGGCAGGCTCCTGGCTACCCCATATTAGTGGCAGGGGGGGGGGCTGTTTACGACCCCCCCTTGATATCTCGAGATCTAACCGGCCGATTTTCAAAAATTCAAACGGCATTCGATTTGGCTCAACGAGGTCTACATTTCTAAAAAAAAATAAATTTAAAAAATGTCAATAGAGGGGTAGAGGGGGGTAAAAACGGGCAAATTGCAGATACATTTTAGACTGTTTATCACGGCCAGGTTTCTGAACCAATCTTAACGCAACTTTTGCCGATCGATAGAGAATGAACCAGGAATTCACATGGATCCTAAAAATATGCATTTTCAAAAATCATAGGCGGATACAGATCATTGAGATTGGGGGTACACAAAAAGTATAGTAAATAAGGTTTTTGTTGGTACTGTTTCTAAAAAGGGTGGCAATGGTCCTGTTATGTTACAATTTTCTTATGAGAGAACGACTAAAATTGTATTGGTCATGCATAGGCGGTGTCAGGGCACCTATGTTGGGAGGTAAAAAATAACCCCCCTTTTTGGACGCCTGGATCCGCCTATTATAACAAAAACGTGTCAAAAGAGGATGCACAATAACTTTGTATATGTTATCACATGATACCTTTCATTCACTGTTCGTAAAACTGGTGCAGCATCGTGATCTTCGCCCAAATGACTAGCTTCACGAATAGGACCCCCAATTCCCAGTGCTCTGGAGCCGCCCCTGGTAAAGTTATGAACTTGAAATTTTCAGGGAATATGCCCAATTTAGTTTTAGGAAAAGTCAGAAAATTTCAGCATCGTAGCTTCAGCGGTTTCGGAGATATTCCCGAAAAACCTGAGGGGTGGATAAAAACAACCCCCCCTGCCACTAATAGGGTTAAGCGTCTCTCTGCGCTGACAAGACTGTTCAATATAGCTATGCATGATCGTTAAACACATAGCTACAATAGCAATTAATATAAGCGATGCAGATTGTTGCAATGGACTTTTTCTATGGTTTAGAGTCTATGATTATTCTAGGTAGCATGTCATATGGCTTTTCAGCTCCTATACACAATTTGAGCATGCTGCGAGTACGAAGCGTGTAGAGCCATGATTGTTACCACAATTGCTCAGATGCTCAGCTATAATGTCTCGACCCTCCGTTATTCTAGCCTTCCGCGACTCACATGGTGCCGACCCTGCTCCTGATGATGATGTTGATGATGATGATGACACTCTCCGCGGACAGGAACAGATGAGGCTCGTGTCCTCCACCCTCCACCCCTGCCTTCGAGAGTATGACGGAGCAAGATCCACGGCTCCACCGAGCCGGTGTTTGGAGGTCGTGGAGGGATGTAGCCAGCCTAGCGGGCGGTAGCCACATGTTGTGTTGTGTCGTATCGCTCCATTCGCCGGGAGGATTAGGTGTTGCGGAAGACGGGACATCTGAGCCCCGGAATGTCGACTTTGTCAGGCTTCTGTGGACGAGGAATGGAGGAGAATGTGAAAGTAGGTTAAAGAGGGGAGAGATTACGATGGTGCCTGAAATAAGAAAAATACAGGTGTCCGTAGTTACGACATTCGCCGCCAGGGGCTGACCCCGGCCCGTGACCGAGGTCGCGGGCGGGGTCAGTCTGCGTTGGTGCTCCGCACGAGCCGCGACGCTCCGTGTTACGCGAGCCGCCGGTATTTCGAGGCGGCTTGTTTCCTCATGGAGGAACAGTTCAACAACCTTCTTGAGAGGTTTGACAAGTTGGAAAGCTCAGTGGCTGCAATCAGTGAGCATTTGAAGACCGACACCGCCGGTCGTCGGCTGGTCGACACTCAAGAATGCCGACACCCCGACAGATGTCACCATTGTCGTATTATGTTTTATTTGATCTTTCGTTACAATGCGACTTATAGTTCGTGGAATAAATGGTTACGATGTTGCAGAAAAAAAGTTTAGACATATATAATACATTTTCGACATATATAGTCCTTTATTTGGAAGCTAAGTTTTTGACTCTCGGTCAAGTTTCTATTGAAAATCGAAAAACGTCAAAGAAGTTTGAATTACACAAGCAATTTCACACTTTTTATGTCACATTTGAGTGCTGTCGTTTTTATAATCATCATGCTTCCCTCGTAAAAACGCGTCAGTTATTTGGTTAAAAAGGACTAATACAACATACGTATGAATAGTGCATGCTTTATTATGGGGACTTGCTTTATCATGCAAGTTAAATCTTAGTTTCATCATCAGTATATGATGGCATGACGCATTTCAAAATTTTTGGCGGTATGACATTTTCATTTGGCCCGAGCGTCGCGCTGCAGTAGCGCCAGTAGTTTTCGTTTGGTCCAATTAAATGGATTCCAATCAAATATCCAATATATAGCTATCTCGACTTAATTGTGTCAGGTCCATAATTGAAATAGCGGGTGGGGAAAGAGTAAAGACACCTTCTAGGCCGGCACTTACAGAATACAGCGTCTATGAGCGTTGGTCAGGGGTGCAAGTATGAGAGCTCACTACTCGAGTGTCCGCCCCCTGGCGGCAGACGTGCCAACCGGCCGGGGCCGACCGTCCGCGCGCCGTCCGCTACTCCGCCCGGTCGCCCGCTCAGCCGCAGTCAGTGGGTCGCGCTCGCGCTGAGTGGGGTGTCGTCGCAGCTCCGCCGCTCTTCCGCACCGCGCTCCGTTCCGTCTCGTCTCGTCTCGGCTCGGCGCGGCAGGACCCGTGCAGGTAGGTTTGTGGGTCGTCCATCGGACGCTGGGAACAGCGGCGTCAAGTGTGGTCAGTGCTCTCTGAAAGTGCGACGGTGACGGGTGTTTCGTAGGATTAGTGTCAGCCTGAGAGGAGGGCCGTGCTGTGTGTGCCGATCCTCACCGCCCATCCGCTGCACCAAACTAATCCTGCACGGTGGAGCTCCGCACGACGCAGCGGCCGGTGCTGGTTGTGGGTCAAGTGCACCACGGCGTCACTGGGATAGATGAGACTGTCTCGGGAGCACCCCCATGTGCTTGAGCCATGGACCGCCCCACATCCTCGTAGTAATGAATGACCCATCACTCCCTCCTCTGGCACCGCTACCTGTCGACACTTGAGTTCCAAACACGGTGTGCACACGGTGCACTCTGCACGCTATACTCCGTGCACGGCGCGCGATCTGTGGTGAGCCGATTTAACCCTGCATCTAAGGGGGTGCCGGGGAGGGTGTGCAAAAAGCGATCACCTGATTAGTGGTCAGTCAGGTGGTGCGGCATCTTCACCCCTGCAGGAGGCTTACGCTGTTATCAACAGCGAGGAGAGATGCTAGTGGGCATAACAAAAATAGAGGTGAGGTTAAGTTTGTATGCACTCCTCCAGCTTAGATACCACTGCATGCCATGTAGAGATAAAGAAATGTCGAGCAAATGATTTTCCCGTTTGTGGTAAGCTAGAGAGTGGTTTCGTAGACTATGTTATCATTCGCGATTGCATACAATGCTCGAGTGGCCATGGTTGGTTTGGTCAGCGAGCTTGGTCAGCAGCATTTCTATGCTACGGCGAATACATCCATAGTTCTATAGATTTCTGTATTCCATTTCTCCACATATTTATCCATATGGACATGCAATAATAAGTTTACGCGCCACGCGGCATTACCGCTGCACCTGTATCACCAATCCTGCTTACTCGGTTTGACTTTCAGTGCCGTATTATCATATGAATGTCAGATTTGGAATTGCAAACATTCCGCTCACCCGCGAAATACTATACCATGCACCTGCGCTGCACGTGCACACGTAAATGAACTCTTCGCATGTGGCACGCCAATCAATTATATCAAGCCATTGTCCGAAATAATTAGAATCATTCTTTGAGGAGTGAGCGAACACTCAAGTCTTGGGTAAGCTCACATCACATCCTCACAGGACTTCACCTGTGGTGCACAAGTGCACAGCCACACCGCACAGTTCATAGCAATGAATAATTGATGTAAGTACCGACGCTGGGATAGCTATCATCATTATATATCAATATTTCAACATAATTGGGCTTACTCGAGATGCTCCTTTTTCTTTCTTCAGATCATTGCCCTTTTATGATAAATCGCAGATGCCTTGAATTGCGAAATAATTATAATCCTAGAACACGTGGTGGCTGATAATCGTCGGTTGTGAGGAAATGGATTCGTTTTTGTACGCTTTTAGACTGCTGTATTAAAGATCCTTCAATTAATTTCTATGCCATTTTCTCAGTTACCTGAGGGATTTTCTTTTGTTCTTTGCTTGCACAACTCACAAGAGTGTGGCTGAACATGCCATAAGTGTCCATTTCCATCGCTTCATTTGGCAATATCGTCCACCATTTCTGTCCAACGCCCACCGCCCGCCACCCATCGCCAATCGCCCATAGCCCAGCGTCCACCGCCCACCGTTCACTGTCCACCGTCCACCGTCCACCGCCCACCACGCTCCCATCCACCACCCGGTGGACTCCTCCCTTTCCCCGTGCTCAGCAGCTGACACACCCTCCGTAATCCCATTGTCCCTTTGTCCCCAACCGGCTGTGTGGCGGTCGGCACAGCCCGGTCAGCCCGTGTTTATAGACCAGATGGCGGCCCTAGTGGCTACTGTCCGTCGCTCTTCTATACCCAGACCCCCCCCCCCCGGACCCACTATTCGGCTCGCGCGTGGTCCTGTTTTTATGACCGTGTTTTGGATGAGAGCTGTCCGACGGAGCGGTCGAGGTCGTGCTGAGATGAGCATTCATTGGATCTATGGGTGTGTCTGTTTTCGACGCTGGTGAGGAGTCATATCATATGCCAATACATCACAATATGAATAATAAGATACAGATATACGGCAGTTATTGAAAGTTACTCGTAATAGCAAACCACATAGGTACGAGTCTCCTATTTTCATAGCAAATCTACCGCAGTTTTATGTTGGTGTGAGCTCCGAATCAAACACACACCAAGTTACGCCCGCGTCCGTAACTGAGCGTTGTCAACGTGCTCAGCACTCCACCTTAGCTGTTTCGTCACGTGCACATGTGTGCGCTGTACAGTTTGATATTTTGCAGAAGTAGGAAATGAAACAGAACGCTGCTGGCGAATCTGTGCACATTTACGAATACGAGTATGACTTCGCGTGTCCGATAATTGACAACTCAGGAAGATTGTGTACGCACGCTCGAGCTCGAGCAGAAGGTCCTATCTAAAAAAGATGTGTGCAAAGACAAAGCATTATTTTGAAAAAGAAGCATAACTACTTCATCCAGCCACCCATCCATCTATTTATGTGACCTTTCGTTCATAATCGTTCTTCGGCTTACACCGCCATTTCTGCCTAATAGTCGTCACCGCACCGCCGAAAGCAAGGTCCTACCCCAGCTGCAAGATTGTCCGGATCAGATAGTCTGCCAGACAACCTTGTCAGACAGCCTTCAGTCTGGCCAGACAGCCTTCAGTCTGGCCAGACAGCCTTCAGTCTGCCAGAAAACCTTGTCTGACAGTCTCCCAGACAGACCTCCGTCTGCCAGGTAACCTTGTCAGACAGTCTCCCAGACAGCCTTCAGTATAGCCAGACAGCCTGGCTAGACAGACAACCCATATTACCCGACTGAGTTTGGCGTTAGTGCGGCTGCAGAAACGCAGCGGTCTGCAGCGGGCGGCCACTGGCGTTCATTTCATGTCTGTTGTGACCGCTGCTCAGTGTTCATGTTGCTATCTACGCCAAGGCTGCATTTGTCGTAGTTTCAACCGGACAACGAGGGGTGTAGATTAGCCCGACTTTTGCTTTGACCGGGGAAGGGGAATTCCGAATATCTCGAGCTGGCCAAGCGTGTTGAGATGGACGAGGGAGCTTTCTGTGGTAGATCATGACTGTGGAGTGGATGGAATTAAGAGCGGCGGGCTGGGGATGAAGATTAGGGAGAAGGTTGAGAGCGGTAGGTTAGGGATGGCAAAGAGGGGTAGGGGGAGAGGTCAGGAACAGATGCTGCATAAGAATGGCAACACATGGATGTCAGATTATTGGGTAATGGGCGCAGGAATGCGGATGGTGACAGTGCCACGAGGTCAGCAAGGAAAACGGAACAGGATGGCTCACTCCGTTAGTCTCATAATCTGCGGAAAAGAAGCACTGCCAGGCTAAATAACGAGGAAGCGATAAGTATATGCAGTTTTATAATGAGGGCTCGGTTGTGAAGGGTTCCCTGGTCGCAATTTCGGGAAATGCAGCGGTTATGTGGACCGACAGGGCGAACTCTCAAGGTCGCTGACAGAACCGGTAACGTGTTGTGGAGCCTCGAAGTCGAAAGCCGCGAATGGCCGTTGTTGGTTTCCCCAAATGACATGTCGTGGTGTCCATCACCGATCGCAACAGGCCTGAGTCATGCGTGTGCTTTGTGCATTGTGTGGTGCAGATCTGCAGGTGGCTCATGACATTGGCGTGGACTGAAAGTATGAATCTGGGTTTGGGTATAGAATATAGATTCACATTGATTGTGATTTTCACCAGTTCTGGAAACGTGTATTGATTCTTAATAAAGCGGCGACGTTTTCTAACAGATTGCACCGGAAAATAGTGGTGTCGTGATATACCAGCCAGGTTTTTTTCGTGTGATCATCGATCCATTTTGTTTTAGCGGTCTCCTTGCGTCCATTTTCCTGCAATATTCCCCTTCTCTGCAACTCTTCCCTGCCCTTCGTGGCAGCCAGCAAGGTTACCGTCTGGGTGACTCAGCTTGTCTTTGTAAGGGCTGAGCTTGTTGCTGTGTGGCTTTGCGGTTTTGAAATCAAATCAACTAGGCATTAACTGTTCAATAATCATAAGTCAGAATTTCGAAATGTAAATGAGCTTTTAAACAAATTTAGTTTCTGTGTGTGTGTTTGCCACGAAAAGTAATTGAAACCTCTCATAAAGAAAAGAAGATGTAAGTACGCAGCCTCGTACACACCCCCTATTGCAGCGCTTTTTTCAGTTAAGTATCATATTCCATTCACGCTCGTTAAAGTCTGGTTGATGAATTCATACTACACATTTCTTGCTAATTTTGATTAGGACGTCGAATCCAGCAGCCGCGATTGTATCTGGATGATGTCACAAATTGGTAGCTTCGTGTCGGGTAGCCTCGCGACAAATTTACATTTCATCATCAATCACCAACTTCTCAGCGATAGACAGTATTAACGAGCACTTAATTATCAGTGGCATGCTACCACGAGAGTAAACACATTGAAACTGGCCCGCAAAGTGTCAATGTGACCCGTAAACGCTCGGTAATGGTTTGGTACTGATTCACGTCCATATAGCTTGCAGAACTCGTCAAGCGGCTCTGATTTCGAATGCAATGAGCAATGTGTTTGCATCATTATTTCTTCCGCAACTTGCTTCTTATCCACTGGGTGGGGCTGAAACCCGTTGCACCTAACGGGATTTCTTTCAAACTCCTTAGCCCGTCTGAATGGACTGTGACAGTCAAGACTGCCAGTGGATATTTGTTTGAACTAATTTCTTAAAATACTAAACTAAATTTATGGTGCGTACATACTGCTTATTGTGGCTATTAACGCCCTACTCACAATTTACTGTGGGAAATAATGCTGCAAAATGTAAAGAAATGTGTTAGGAAATTGACACTTGCCTGTGGTGAAATGTGGTGAAACCAAAAAACGAATTCGGTTGGCTAGATCGGTTTCAAGAAGATGTGAAATCGGAAATGGAGCAATTTCTTCGGAACTGCTCCTCCCACGC